AATGGTACCAGGTTTTGGGTTAGGTTTTACTTTGAGATATTATTAAAGTTATTACAGGTACTTATTTTCAGAAATAGAACTATGTTCACCACTGATCAGCGTGGCGTGAGTGATGAGGTCTTTGCCTGCAAGTTCCGAACTTCTTCTGCTCTGCAGGTTCAAACCCTGCCAAAACAAATCCTTTTTTTTTATTTTTTCAATCATATTTTAATCGTACACTAAATGTGACATTATATTTTGTCTGACCTTCGAATATTTTTTTTTAAAGTTAAATTTAACCGATTACATTTAACATATGTTATTTTCAATGTACGAAGTACATGAATCTGGATGGTACTTTTCACAAAAACAGTCAAAACATAAAAATTTCAAGCACCACGTACATTTACTGAAAGTTTTGTTTTCACAGAAATTACAAAATTTTGTATTTAACTCTGATGGAAAGGCCGCTTCATTTACATTGATAAAATGTGAACGATTTTCGGATAGTCGTACCTTGTAGCTCGTACTTTTTACCTTATACTTCAGGTAAAAAGGGATATTAGCTGGGAAAAACAGTTTTATGACATTACCTGCTAACTTATGTTACTGTTCTACAATGAAACGCTATGTTTTGTACCTTTAAAAATATTCGACTATGTCCTTTTAAAATTTAAGATACAACCCTATACTTTGTATTAAACTGGCAAACGGGATCACTTTTCCTTTGTTTCTAGTTAGTTCTATTTAGTTCGTCATAACCAATTGATACGGTTATTTCAAAACAATCGAGGAAAATCATTATTAATTAATTTCTGCAATTATTAATTCTACTGTTTTGTTTATGTTATAAAAGTAAGTACTCTTCTTATTGAAAAATACCACAGCGTGTACAATACTGGTAAAGAGGGGAATCTCATTTTAATTTATTAATTTTCAATCTTAAAGTATTTTGATTTTCAAAAATCGTATTAATAATATACATATGTGTGCTCATACATGGGAATAAAAAAAAATGTCTTTTTTTTCAATAATTAAAATATGATCAGGAGGTCTTAAAACGTGTATTTCTGTAAAATAAATTTTACAAACATTTTTTTTTCATTATGGGTACTTTGCTTATGTGCGCCTACATAGGTCGGAAAGTAAAAATGCCTGGAGTGGGCAGTCGAGAATCTCGGCTCGAGAATCCAAATCGTATGCCGTTGACGGGAGGTCGGATTTCAGTTGTTTAGAGCGAGAAGGCAAATGTGAGCCTTTCTCTCTCGACTCCCACGAGGCGATCCGAAATTACTTCGGGTGGCTTCGGAGAATCGAGAAAGAGGGCATGCGTCAGTTTGCCTTTGTCGACTTTCCGAAACTCCACGAGCTCACGTACGCGTATCTGGCATGTGTGCGTGTGCACCCGGCGGTGCTTTTCTGGCATCTCTGGTCTCGATTTTTAGATACAACTTGGTTGACTTTCCTAATCGATCTGTCCCTCCGCGGAAATCTTCTCGTCGTCCTCGGTGTTCATCCCTTCTCCGGAATATTCCTCGATCCTCCCTCTGGATTGTCCTGGTTCAATCGGGGTTTGTGCCTTGCCCCATCCGTCCGGATCGTCATCGATCGATGATCCACCCCCGAGCCGCGTGGAGGTGGAGGTTACGCGGCCATGTTGGAGCGGGCGCGCGTGAGAGAGAGCGTGGGAGTCGAGAGAGAAAACGAGGCTAGCGGCCTAAACAACCCTTAAGAAAATTTATGACCCTTGTGAAAGTAAACGAAACTCGAAGCGAAGTGTCGCGAGGCCCTGCTGTGTGTCAAGACCATTGAAACTCTTAACGGAAATAGCTAATTTGGCACGGTCCGTAATAAACAAAAAGAAGGAACGACGGAAACTCCGATGTGTCGTGGTCTTTAGAAAATAAACAAAGTATCTGAAAAGAAGTGCCTTCCTTTCTCTCTACCTTCCCCAGCTTGATCGCCCACGTTGAAAAACATACAATCGTATTGTTTATTACAATACGCTGGTCCGTTTGGATTTCGCTCCTAACTAAAACGCAGTTACATGACTCTGCACTCGACGGTGAATAATCGGGTTACAATTGATTCCCGTTGTGGCGCTATGTGCATTAAACCTACGTTCACGTGATAACGTAACAATCGTGATCGAATCACAGACGAGATATATGAATAGACGTTTCACCTTATGGACTTTCGCGGCCGAATCTGACTGCCATACCGACCTGAAAATTCGGAGGTGATTTTAGCGGCCTCTTCTCATGGATGGCGGTTAGTTGAGAAACTAGGCACTGAATTAGTATTGATGGGCAGCCAGCTGAGTGTGTACGTAAATACATGTGAGTTGATTATGGGAGGGATTGGAAAAGACAGTGGAGTATTATCAGACGGCAGACCCGTGCCGAAAGGGAACTGCCCCACCACTCACACACACTAATGCCAACCACCTTGTATATGAGTTCTGGCGTTTCGTATAGCTTCGTAGATTCGAGAAAGGCGGCGAATGTCAGTCTATCCTTCTTGCTCTCAACACAGCTGAAATTCGATCTCGCATATTCACGAGCCGAGATTCTCGACTGCCTAGGCATTTTTGACTTTCCGACCTGTGTAGGCATATACAATGTATAAGCAATATACCATAATGAAGAAAAAATTACAAAAATTTGTTTTTACGGAAATACACGTTTTAAAACGATAATATTTTATGAACATATTTTAACCCTTTGCACTCGGTCGTCCCCTCTGAGGGGACATGAAAGTTTATTAGTGATTAAGGAGAATGAACTGATTTCACCGCAATTTTTTAAGAAACACATGTTTTCCTGTACTTTCCTATTAAAATGGGAAATATTCTATTAAAATGAGAAATATATCAGCCGTTTTTACGTTGGGAGTGGAAGGATTGTCGATGATGGTCAGAGGCGTATGGTCGGATTCAAACACGTGGACAATAAACGTAACTATATAAACTATATTATTTAATGTTTACTAAAATTATTTAACATAAAGAACATAAAACGTAAACGTAAAAAACTATAAACGTAAAATCGAAACTTCATTCAAAGTCGAACCATTCCTATTGCTATCTTCGTTATAATCTAAATAAATTAACGTTCTTTGTCGGACAATAGAATGAATAATAAGCTACATATTCCAAATGTAGGCCAAAGAAACCGGGACTGCATTATTTGTTCCGACAGGAAAACACCAGGAGAAAGACGTCAAACAACATTTTATTGTGAAACATGTATAAATCAACCTGCTATGTATATTGGGAATTGTTTCAGAATTTACCATACCATAGAAAATTATGAGAAATAAATTTTTATTTTGTATTGTAAATATGTGTTCTTCAATGTCCATAAATACATATAAACCAAATTTCAACACAATGCCTTACTTGGTTCCAAAGTTGTACCATATAATATCACGACCAAGGGTTTTCGTTTTCGCGAGAAAGTAGCGTCGAGTTGCTGATAGCTAACGTCCGAAAAGGTGCCGAGTGCAAAGGGTTAACTATTAAAAGACATTTTTTTATAACAGCTGTGCTTAAAAACTCGATTTGTGTAGCCGGCCGCCTAACGGCGGCCACGCATTCATTTTCTATTTCAATTTTCTTTATTGATATTATCAGAAGTGGGAAAGATTTCAGCCATTATTTCGACAAATTTAATTATTAGATCATTAGCATGATATTGTCGACGGAAGAAGAATTCACCTAAATAGCCTACATAATGTATTTGGCGAGTTCCATACTTCAGAATATTCGAACCTTTGACAACAATGCAGAACTAGATTTAGCTCGACACATTATACATTATTTGTCGTCGGTTGTCATACCGACTAATACAAATAAGAGAAAAAAGCAACGATCATGGACTGATGCAATACAGAGCCACAGATATGTACATATAGACAGAATTCATTGTAGTAGTAGCGATCTTTTTGAAGAAAAATCTCGGAAACTAAGGCCGAGCGGCGGTTATATGTATAGGAAAAAGTTGCTCAAAATGTTGATTTCTACAACATATTCAAAAATCATCGAAATCGGTGAGACCCGGCCTTTTCTAAATAATTACCTCATTTTCTTTCAATAATTCTCCATTGCAAAATATCTACAGTATTCTTACATTTTTTATATTTTAAAATTTTCCCATGTTATTAGAAAGTAGATATACAACGAAAGTTATACAATTTATAGTTCCTAGCATGTATAACATGTATATGTATATAACGCATGGTCGCTTCGTATGGAAAGTCAATGAATCTTCAGAAAGCGCCCAGGTCCGATTTCGAGAAATGTAAGGTCTGTCGGTCACGATGGCTTTTGTCGTTTACTGACGATTCGAACGGTTGGCGATGCCAGGCTTGCTTTCGAGAAATGTAAACGACGTCAGCGATGCAAGAGCGAGAAGGAAAGCGAGTATCAGCCTGTTCTTCTCGGCTCTTCCGAAACTCAACGAGCTCACGTACACGCAATTGAGCATAGTGTGCGAAAGCGAGGAATGAGGAGTTTCCGGGGCCCCGATGCACAGTCTGATTAAACTGATTTCGAGTCGCAAATACGTTTCTGCCGAGTTATTTTTTTAATAAATGATGTATTACAATTTAAAATAAAAAATAGAGAATTTGCGGTGTACGTATCAATGAAATACATCCTTATGAATTTTAATAATCTTGAAATTTTTAAATACTCTTAATCGATTGATTTCTCCAATGAAATTAATCGATTAATGTCCAATGATGGACCCTACAGCTTTAATTCCGTTCAAAAATAATAAAATTTATGTAATTTTATTTTCTGTCTCACTTCCTCTTGTGTTAATTTCTGAATCTGTTGATAACGTAGCGAGTGACACGAAAATGGTAATGGGGTCTCGGGACCCCAGAAACTCCGGCCGAAAAATTACATTACGTGAAACGTCTATTCATATATCTCGTCTGTGATCGAATCACGAGTGATTCAAAAGTAGCAGTTCACGCCATCTCTACTCAATTATGCCAAATCTAGCCACACTGCATGTAACTAAAGATTCTTAAAAAAGATACGAGACTAGACAGTTCCAGAATTTGCTTTAAATTTGCACATTGTAAATTTTAAATCCATGTGCAATCTATGTGTATATTAAATAATTTCTATTAACTATTTCTATTAACTTAAGGTAAGAAGAAATAAAAAACATTTTATGAATATTTTAAATAATTGTTGAGTGTGAACGAAATAAAAATTAGCATTATCAAGTAAAAATTTCTTGCTTATTTTTTATGGATAACTATAACTTTAACCTTTTCATATATATTTTATCCGAAATAGTTGTTTATAATACAATATGATTCACTAACTTTACATATGTATATTGAAATGGTACATTTATATTTTTCATTTGATAAAGTTGATTTATTTAAACGACATTTTATTGTATCACGTTTATAGATGGGAGTGGATAAAACTGTTGATACGACTGTAGAAAGGTAAGATATGTGATGTTTCTTAAAATTTTATTTTAAAGATATATTTTTTCTAAAGAGAGGAGATTTCTAAGAAGGCTCTTAAAAAGCAACAGAAAGAAGCAGAGAAAGCAGCGAAAAAAGCTGAACGTATAGCTCAAGCTGTAAGCTAAACTATTCTACATATATGTTGTAAAAAAAAATAATTATTTTTGTATTCTTAAATAATAAATTTTATCTTATAACAATGTATGTTTGAATTATAAATATAGCAAGTACAACTAAAGGCAAATGAAGAAGAGGATATATCGGTTGAAAATTATGGAGACATAGGATTGATTCAAAGTAACGAAAAACATACAGAAAGAATATTTACAGATATTAAAAATTTAATATCAGATTTGGAAAATCAAACTGTATGGTTAAGGGGTCGTTTACACACTAGTCGTGCCAAAGGTAAAATTAAAACAGTTGACAATACAATTACGCATTTATTATTAATAATTTATCAAATATAAATATTTTATTGTAGGTAAACAGTGCTTTATTGTTTTAAGACAGCAGTCGTACACAGTACAAGGTTTAGTTGCAGTAAATGAAAAAACCAGTAAACAAATGATTAAGTTTATATCAAAGTAAGTTACAGGAAAAAGGTAGGAAAGTAATATTAATTTATATTAAGCGAATTCATTTTGTAGTATTACCAAAGAGTCCATCATGGATGTAGAGGCGGTTGTGAAACGTGTATCCTCTAAAATTGAATCATGTACACAGAAAGAAGTAGAAGTTCACATTGAAAAAGCATTTGTAGTAAGTGCTGCAAAGGCACAACTACCTCTACAAATCGAAGATGCCTCAAGACCTATGGGAGAAACTGATGATAATGCTCTTAATATAAAAGTGAATCAAGACACTAGATTGGATAACAGAGTTTTGGACTTAAGAACTTCAGCAAATCAAGCTATATATAGAGTCGAAGCAGCTGTTTGTAAATTATTCAGAGACATCCTTACAAGTAAAGTAAGTTGTTATTAAAATGATTGAACATAATTATAATAATTTATTTAATCAGAATTTTATTCATAGGGTTTCGTTGAAATCCATACACCAAAAATTATATCTGCTGCAAGTGAAGGTGGCGCAAATGTTTTCACAGTATCATATTTTAAAGGCAATGCTTACCTAGCTCAATCTCCTCAGCTTTACAAACAAATGGCAATAGCGGCCGACTTCGATAAGGTTTTTACCGTAGGAGCAGGTAATTAAAATTTTTAAAACTGAATTTGCTTAAATGTTCTACAAAATAAGTTACTATTATTATATGAAGTATATTATGTATGATAATTTTTTAGTTTTTAGAGCTGAAGATTCTAATACATATAGACACTTAACAGAGTTCGTTGGTCTTGATTTAGAAATGGCATTTAAATATCATTATCACGAAGTAGTCGATACTATTGGACAGTTATTTACAGAGATGTTTAAAGGTCTTCGCGACAAGTTAGTATAAATTTATAATCGACGTGAAAATAAAAATGCAAGTTTTGATAAATTCAGGGGGATCATTTTATCATACAATTTTAGTTACACTGCCGAAATTGAGGCTGTACATCAGCAATACAACGTAGAGGCTTTTAAATTCTTAGCTCCACCTCTAAAGTTAGAATTTTGTGATGCGATTGAGTTATTGGCGGAAGCTGGAGTAACTTTGGGCGAGGAAGACGATTTGTCCACTCCCGATGAGAAACTGTTAGGTAAACTTGTAAAGGCAAAAGTGAGTTTTCTTGTGCATTATCTGTAAAAGATATTGTTAACAAATATGAATCTGTTCTTTCATTGGATTTGTGTGTTTAGTATGACACAGACTTTTATATTTTGGACAAGTATCCGTTGGCAGTAAGACCTTTCTATACTATGCCAGATCCAAATAATGCTGTAAGTGTACAATTCATTCTAAATTTTTGTAAAATGTATATCATAATATTTATTATAGAAAGCATCGAATTCCTACGACATGTTTATGCGAGGTGAAGAAATTATTTCCGGTGCACAACGAATTCATGATCCCGAACTTCTAATAGAACGTGCAAAATTCCATGGAATTGGTAGGCATACGTAACTTCTAACTCGTGCATCTTTGCAGTTTTAATGTAATATATTTGAAATATGATTTTGTATTTTTTAAACATTGTAGATTTAGAAAAGATCAAAGCCTATATTGACGCATTTAAATATGGCTGCCCTCCTCATGCTGGTGGTGGAATCGGCTTGGAGCGTGTCGTTATGTTGTACCTTGGTTTAGACAATATTAGGAAAGTTTCAATGTTCCCTCGTGATCCTAAACGCCTCACACCTTAAATTTTAAGATTTTTACTTGTGCACATTTTTTTATGTACTGAATAATGTGTAGAATTATGATTAATAAATTTGAAGAATTTTCAAGTGATTTATTCTATGGAGAAAATTAATAGATCAAATATTTTGAATATTCTTTATAATATAAATTATACAGGGTGTTACGTTTAAGTGCGAATGGTGGAATATCTCATGAGGTATTGAAGGTATCAAAAAAGTGTTTTATTTAAAGGGGCAAATTATGTAGTATAAATAATTTTTATATAGGTGGAGTGGTGGGGGAGATTTTAAAGTCAGGCTAATTTTTTTAAATGGAACCATACATTTTTTTGTTCATAATATGATAGCATTTGTTGAGACAAATTCAACGACTTACTACATGATATCATTACGAGTCAGATTTACAGAAATTACTAGCCGAACCCTACGTACTGCAACGACTGACGCACGGAATGTTCCCGATTCGATTCTATCGTATAAACAAATTGAGCTTTTTATCTTCACTTAGGCTTCTAAATTTATACTTTCGGCCTCGAATAGTCACTTTAAAAAGTAACTTTAGAGAGTTAAGAAGTCGAAAGAAAGAACGTTTTAATTCATAATATTAGCATTTTTATATTAGTTCTTTAGTGTTTTTAATTATACTTAGCATACTCAACGATTGTGGATATGTTGAAGGATAAGGTACATACAACGTCATTAATTAATTCCTGTTATTACAAACTAGTGATGAGTAAAAATTAAAATCAATCATTTATGACATCTGGAATAATTAATAATTTCATAATTAAAGACTGGATCGGTACGGTACAAGCAAATAGTATAGTCAGACAAGATTCGTTTTAATCAATAACTCACAATTTGCGTTGATCTGACTGCTTTGCATCTCAATAATTATGGCTCTATAGCGAGGAATGATATCATGTAGTAGGTCGTTGAATTTGACTCAACAATTATTATCATATTATGAACAAAAAAATATATGGTTCCATTTAAAAAAAATTAGCTTGACCTTAAAATCTCCCCCACCACTGCACCTATACAAAAATTATTTATACTACATAATTTGTCCCTTTAGATAAAACACTTTTTTGATACCTTCAATACCTCATGAGATATTCCATCATTCGCACTTAAACATAACACCTTGTATGTAATATACTTGTACAGGGTGTTCGGCCACCCCTGGGAAAAATTTTAATGAAAGATTCTAAAGGCCAATATAAGACGAAAATCAAGAATACCAATTACTTGATGGAGGCTTCGTTACAAAGTTATTAACGTTTAAAGTTCCGCCTGTAGAATGGCAATCTGCGCACGGCTGCGTTCGCGCGGAAGGTTGTGGCAGGCCAGTGCTAGTGGTTCTCACGCAGCATGAAAAATTCTACTTACCGACGTTATCGACAGCCTTAGATTTTTGTCCATTTATGGAAACGTGAACTATAAATTAATAAATATTTACATTAAATATAAATATTTTATTAATGTTATTAAAAAAAAAATGAATTAACACCTTACGTTGAATAAGATTCAACCTATCTTATGAAAATCCAGAAGGGCATATCAAAACTCGCCCGACGAGATTTTCACAGAGATAGTGCATGCCACTTCCAATATACAGGGTGTTCGGCCACCTCTAGCAAAAATTTTAATGAGCGATAGTAGAGGCCAAAATAAGACGAAAATCAAGAATACTAATTTGTTGATGGAGGCTTCGTTGCAAAGTTATTAACATTTAAAGTTCCGCCTGTAGAATGACAATCCGCTAAACAGCTGGTTCGCGCGGACGGTTGCGGCAGGCGAGTGCTAGTGGTTCTCACGCAGCATGAAAAATTCTGCTTACCGACATTATCGACAGCCTTAGATTTTTGTCCACTTATGGGAATGCGAACACCTTACGTTGAATAAGATTCAACCTGTCTTATGAAAATCCAGAAGGGCATATCAAAACTCGTCCGACGAGATTTTCACAGAGAAAGGGTGAATGCCAGTTCCAATACACAATGTTGTGAACAAAAATCACCCACATGCGATTATACACGCCCCACGATTGTCCACAGTGTCCACAAGTATCCACAAATAATCCTTTCAGGCACTAACCACTATGCAATTAAATAAACACGTACCGCGATTATGTTATTCGTGAATGTCTACGTGTACGTGTATCACGATTCTTCCGAGTTACTTACGAATAAAACTGTTATTAATTTTTCAAATACACTTCAATTTAAAAATGTAAAAAGGAATCGCAGGATAAATGAAAATTTCGCATCGATTTACGTTCACGGCGAAGAATGTAACAATACTAGCAGCTGACTGTGCCATCGATCGACGAGGTTCAGGGAAACTTATGCCGAACAGGCCCCGATTCTACGTCACTCGCCTTGCTTATCTCTCTCACACACAGCGGAGACAAAGGGCAGCATCGGCACGTGTTCGGCCAGCTAGTCAGTCGTAAAACAGTATCAGTCAAGCTAGTTCACGCGACACATATCAGTTATGTATTAAGTAGCATGTAAGAAATAGAGTGATATAAACAATCAGCGAATACTTATTAAATTCCTGTTTACATTTTTAAATTGAAGTGTATTTGAAAAATTAATAACAGTTTTATTCGTAAGTAACTCGGAAGAATCGTGATACACGTACACGTAGACATTCACGAATAACATAATCGCGGTACGTGTTTATTTAATTGCATAGTGGTTAGTGCCTGAAAGGATTATTTGTGGATACATACTTGTGGACACTGTGGACAATCGTGGGGCGTGTATAATCGCATGTGGGTGATTTTTGTTCACAACATTGTGTATTGGAACTGGCATTCACCCTTTCTCTGTGAAAATCTCGTCGGGCGAGTTTTGATATGCCCTTTTGGATTTTCATAAGACAGGTCGAATGTTATTCAACGTAAGGAGTTCGCATTCCCATAAGTGGACAAAAATCTAAGGCTGTCGATAATGTCGGTAAGTAGAATTTTTCATGCTGCGTGAGAACCACTAGCACTGGCCTGCCGCAACCGTCCGCGCGAACGCAGCTGTTTAGCGGGTTGTCATTCTACAGGCGGAACTTTAAATGTTAATAACTTTGCAACGAAGCCTCCAACAACAAATTAGTATTCTTGATTTTCGTCTTATTTTGGCCTCTACTATCGCTCATTAAAATGTTTGCCATAGGTAGCCGAACGCCCTGTATACATTTATACTAGTAACATTTGTGCCTATTAATACAGTGAACATATAACGGAATCTAACTTTGATCATCTTTTTGTACTATTTATTGCAGCCACCAATACTTCTTAACATTCTTTCTATGTTTGTCGTTTTTATCAAAACTAGATACAGTATTGTCTCTACAAAAGCGACTCTCTCGGGGCTCAACGCTCGGCTATAGCGTGGACGAGAAACGATTCTTGATACTTTGTTGACGCCTACTGGAGGTGGTGAGTGTAGAAAAGGACAACGAGCATATGACAAAGGGGGTCTGAGCGCCCAAGCATCGCCGAATTTGGCGATGTTTACGCAAGCCTATATGAAATCGATGTTCTAATTCCGACCTCTACCTCTCTTGGTTGAGATCGCAGAATGAAATACTGATTCTGTATAGGCTCCCATAAACATCGCTTGTGTTTCGATACAGCCGACGTGGAGTCACCTGACCGATGCATGCCTTTGATCGCTTATTGCGTTAGTAAATAGGATCTAAATTGTATATCGTATTTGGTGTCATTTTTGTAAGAATCAGGTAAATGATGTGGACGTTTTCAAAATAAAATTTGATCCTTTATTGACCCGTTCAAGGCGATGGCCGTTACAAGAATGTCTTGCTTCTAGTCTGAGGCGGATGCCTTCGCCAATGTGACCGTTTGTTTCTTTATGACATCCCTGCTCTCAAGGAACTTTTCCTTGAGAGGGTTCGTGCGTTGACAAAACGCATGTGGCCCGTCTTAGCCGCTCGCTTACTTCGATTTTCTAACATTCGGCCATACTGACTCAGGTCTGTCCTCAGACTTTACACTTAATTTCGTCGTTGAAGCCAACTTTAAATTGTCGACGTAACACAATACCGTTGTACTGCTTACAATCGACTATGGACACCGTCGTATTCCTTATCGGTTCGGAGCGCACTTTGCACCCGTTACCAAACACCACCCTACCTGAGGCACACGTCGTGCCCGTCTGGTTCGGCGTTAACGTTACCGAAGGTACCGTTGTACCTTGGGTTTTTAAAACACATCGTGTCGTGATGCACGTTGCGTCCTTCGTCGTAAGTCGGAGAAAACCCTTTGGTCTCCCATTCTTGGAAAATGAGGGTCATTGTCCTCGCGTCAGAGCCGTTGTTCCGATCCAGTGGTGGTCGGACTTTATCTGTGCTCCGATCCGGTGGTAGTCGGACTTTACCTGGTCGTCGGGTAACTATCCCTTCTCCACCTCGTTCCCTCGCGTTCGAGGCCGTGCAAGCCTTACGGCTTGGTCTTTCCTTTTCCTTTCTATAACATAATCCAATAAATATGAGATATCGTTGAATCACGTAACTGGGTTTGTACTCCACTCAATGATATTTCAATAAAAAGGATACAAGCTTCTACGGGTCATCACACGTTGTGATCTTCCAGTAGTATAGCTATGGGGATTCTAACCCATGGGGCAATGAGGGGAGCGTGGGGCGAGGGGAAGTGAGGGCGCGCGGGGGAGTGCGGCGCGGAGAACTCTGGGCGCGGGGCCTGTGGGGAGTGGAAGATTGGTTGCGCGCACACGAGCCGCGGAGTGGGGGATGTCATGGGATTAGTCCAGGCCGAGCCGCCGCGGAGACCTCTCCAGACCTGGCCCTACGTCGGAAATTTTTTAAGAGGGGGGGGAATGATCCCCGAAAACTTTTCATACTGAACCGAGGGAGGGGATGACCCCCGAAAATTTTTTTCTACACCCACAGAAACTACAACACAAGAAATAAAAAGTTTCATACCGTATACTAAATGCGAAAAATTTACTCGAAAAATTGCA